GAGCCTACTTTCACTCGTAGTGTTCTGTCTGTTAGGAATGTCTCAATTCAGTGCAGGATTTCCCCTTGGATCCCATAAGACGTGAGTTTGTGGAGCAGCAGGATGTATGGGCTCGAGAAGTCGGAAAATATGGCATCTGACATGAGCCTCGATAATGGTCATCTTTCTTGACTGGAAATCTGCCCTTGACCCTGTTGATGCCTATGGGGCATTGTGTCCTCACTATTTTCTTGGCCCTCCTTGGAGCTCCGTACGCCAACTCCCATGGGTTCGTGAAGGCTTTTAGTAAGCTCTCGTCTAACCTTATCACATCCAGTGGCATCAGACAAGGACCTCCCTTTCGACATCTCCATAATATCGTCTTTGGAATCATCCTGGAGGGCTCACGCCCGGCCTCTAAGGCCTGTTGGGTCGAAATGCTCCCAAGACGTTCACAACAGATGTCAAGTACATGGACGACATTGCTCTTGCACATGACGCAGTCGTGGTGCTGGCCTCCTTTGAAACACTATTAAGCTAGACAGATAGTTCTACCTCTTGATTTCATATGCGATTCACACCTGCGCGTGTTAGGTGCTGATTCAAGCCTGGGTGTTCTCGAACCCTAACCTCATGCTTGCGGATGAGCCGATTGAGGTAATAGCCAAATTTATCTGCCTTGGTAGCTATTCCTCCCGGTGGCCCAGTCGAAGACGATATTTCCATCCGGAGTCGAAAGACCAGGACACCTTTTGTGAGCTTGCATTACCTGTAGCGCAGATGTGACATCAGCTTATCTGTCAGGGTTCGTGTTTACGATGCTGTGGTGCGCTTCATTTTGTCATGTCAGTCGGAAACCCGGCAGCTGCACGCTGTGGCCGTTAAAAACCTTCAGTCCTTGACCATTAGTGTCTTCGGAACATTTCCGGAGTCCACTAGGAACATCAGATCAGAAGTACGTCTACATACTCAGTGGGTGCGAATTCATGCTTCAGAGCCATTCCATGCCATTCCATGCGAAGCACTGGAGGCGTGAGGAATTTTAGATACCTTGAGTAGTCGTTTTATTGCTGATAAAGTCACTGTAGGAACCAAAAGCCTGGATCGTGTTTGTCAGTCTTTGTCACTTGTGGGGTCAACATTCATATAATTGAGCTTCAAAGTTCGTGCGTACCAGTAGAGAGTTTGTTGTTATTAGGTTGCAAGACGCTCTAAAACGTCTTCAGTTTTTTTACTACCGACGTCTCAGAAGCGTGGCCGGTATTGGGTGTCGTCGATGGGATGATCGAAGAAGCAACACTTACCTCATTTGCGAAAAGTATTCAGCACCGTCATCTGTGCTTAAGCTCTCGTCTAACCTTATCACATCCAGTGGCATCAGACAAGGACCTCCCTTTCGACATCTCCATAATATCGTCTTTGGAATCATCCTGGAGGGCTCACGCCCGGCCTCTAAGGCCTGTTGGGTCGAAATGCTCCCAAGACGTTCACAACAGATGTCAAGTACATGGACGACATTGCTCTTGCACATGACGCAGTCGTGGTGCTGGCCTCCTTTGAAACACTATTAAGCTAGACAGATAGTTCTACCTCTTGATTTCATATGCGATTCACACCTGCGCGTGTTAGGTGCTGATTCAAGCCTGGGTGTTCTCGAACCCTAACCTCATGCTTGCGGATGAGCCGATTGAGGTAATAGCCAAATTTATCTGCCTTGGTAGCTATTCCTCCCGGTGGCCCAGTCGAAGACGATATTTCCATCCGGAGTCGAAAGACCAGGACACCTTTTGTGAGCTTGCATTACCTGTAGCGCAGATGTGACATCAGCTTATCTGTCAGGGTTCGTGTTTACGATGCTGTGGTGCGCTTCATTTTGTCATGTCAGTCGGAAACCCGGCAGCTGCACGCTGTGGCCGTTAAAAACCTTCAGTCCTTGACCATTAGTGTCTTCGGAACATTTCCGGAGTCCACTAGGAACATCAGATCAGAAGTACGTCTACATACTCAGTGGGTGCGAATTCATGCTTCAGAGCCATTCCATGCCATTCCATGCGAAGCACTGGAGGCGTGAGGAATTTTAGATACCTTGAGTAGTCGTTTTATTGCTGATAAAGTCACTGTAGGAACCAAAAGCCTGGATCGTGTTTGTCAGTCTTTGTCACTTGTGGGGTCAACATTCATATAATTGAGCTTCAAAGTTCGTGCGTACCAGTAGAGAGTTTGTTGTTATGCGGTTGCAAGACGCTCTAAAACGTCTTCAATTTTTTACTACCGACGTCTCAGAAGCGTGGCCGGTATTGGGTGTCGTCGATGGGATGATCGAAGAAGCAACACTTACCTCATTTGCGAAAAGTATTCAGCACCGTCATCTGTGCTGGCTCGACAATGTGCTACGCATGCCAAAACACAGTCTAACTGGACGAGAACTGTCCTCCGCTCTCCTTTCAGAATAGCTCGAACAGTTAGGCGAACCACGTGACTTCGCCTATGGGTGTGATAGAGTTTAGCAGAATTTGGAGTATCTGGTCTGATTCTCTTCATCTTCTTCCTTATACATGGCTGGAAATCTAGCAAGACGTGGCCGATCGTTACCAGTGGCTTCGTTCCGGAGTGAGCGTTTGAGACTGTAGGCATCTCTGGGTAATCTGGCACCAGGTTTCCTCCTCATCCATTGCTTTCTGTTTTCATTTTGACGCTTTAAAATCAGCTAACTACGCTTTTGGGTGTACGGCGGTGAAGGATCAGTGGCAATATTAATGTTGCTGCTTCTGAGCGCGATGGAACATCAGAGAATTCCTCTTATTATTTCCCTCATATACAGACAGAAGTTAGGAAGATTTACACTTTTTTCATTACACCCGATCGTGCAAGCACCTTCAGTCAGTTTTCTACTGGAAACAGCGGAGGACAAAACACTTATTGAGGGTCGTGGCAACATTTTACATTTAGTCGCATCCTGTTCGACTCTACGGACGAAGTAGCTCTGTTTCGACTCATCGTCGGGGAAACCATACAACAAGACTATCCTTAGGGAACGTTTGCTTGTGTCCTTTCGGGTGACTTAGCAGTCAGGCACCGAGATGGCCCAAGTGGTTAGAGCGCGAATTTACTGACCAGAGGGTCCGCGGTTCCAGTCCGACCTCCGCCACTCGACTTCCCCTGTCTAGGCTTGGGCAACCTGGTAGTATCCCAGCCCTCGTGCTTCCTTCGGGTGGCATGGCAGTCAGGCACCCAAAGGCACAGCTGAAAAAAACAGGCACCGAAAGGATGTTACACCTGAACGATTGTTATCTGTTGTATTATTTGATTAAGTTACTCTTTCTTATAGGGGTCTTTCCGAGCAGGAGACGTATCTGGGTTCAGTTTTAACTACGGCGGAAAGGTACGCATTCATTGTGAACAATCAGAAGCGTGCATCCGCTGCTAAAAGCGTTTTTTTACCCGGTTGCGAAACTACTATGACCCCGAAGAAACCAGATCTTGATTGATGGGTTTTCCGCTTCCGCATGGCCCGAAAACATAACAGGTTGAAATAATTGCATATTAATCACAGTCTTCTTATACTCTTTGTTGAGATACTCCTGCATGTGTATGACTGAACCCTCTCTGTTTCCACAGAGACTGATGCATCGCAAATTACTTCGCCGTTAGTGAGACTCAACTGAATCCCTCATTCATGATGTTCTTCAACTGTGCGGCACACAGGTTACTCCATATTTCAGTGGGAATGATATTCAGGATGTCATAGTATGGTATGACACCAGTTATTAATTCACTAAAAAAATTGACTCAAAAGCGCACCTTCCCCTACGTATAGTGCTGAATGTGTCATGTAGTTCGTGATCAGACTCAAAAGGACTACATAGTCCCCCAGCAGATTGGCTATAGGACGAAGTTCCTTGCAGTTTTCCCAATATGTTCTTGACGGAGGTTCTTTGTGTATTTATCTGGACCCGGTAGACCTCCAGTCTACACCGTTACGTCAACCTGAATATTTGAGTGTTGGTTTCTTATATATAAGGACTGAAAAGATACCCTCCTTCAAATCTTACTGTCACCCACAAATGGACCGACGCTTCCTTGAAATCACTAGTTCCTGCGCTCAGAAAGATGGAATTGGCTGACACTGTCGGTGACTACGTAAACAAACTCGGACGCGATGTGCCTATGTTTCCAACGTCCTCTGACTGCTCCCTGACACATCGCATCATTCTAGCATCTTGGGTAGCTTATGCCAGTGAAGATTCTGAAATGGACGTCGCTTGTCTTCATGACTTAATCCCTTCGTTGTTGGGTACGTTAAAATCTCCCAGGGTGACGAATTTGGAGTGGAGGGCGTCATATAGGATTCCCCTCTTGACGGGACTTCGATTAAACATCACTTTGAGTTCACTTGCCTTGGTACCGAGGTTCATAGGGCAAAAGGGATCATGGCACATCGCCGAGTTTTATTGGGATTCAATAATGCGGGTAATGAGCGCTAGTTGGACAAACACTGCAGCTTCCTAACCTGGGCATTATCCACACGACAGTGGTAGATTCCGGGACGGTGACCACGCTGCACACAATACTCACGATGTGGTCGCTCTCAACGACGGCGAGATGGCTCAGCGGTTAGAGCGCGACTTTGCTGACCAAAAGTTCCGGGGTTCAAACCCGACCTCCGCTTCTCGACTTCCCGTGTCTGGGATTGGGCGACCTGACAGTATGCCAGCCCTCATGCTTCCTTCTGGTAGCATTGCAGTTGGGCATAGAAAGGGTGCTACACCTGAACGATTTTTTCTCAATGTTCAACTAGTATCCCAAGTGGACGATTTAAGGGCCTTGTGCGGTGACAAGTTTCTTACAGACATCCCCAATACATACTCATCAGGGCCCTCCTAACAGATAAAGAGATAACAATACACTTTGCTTTTGACCTATTCAATCCGCTAAAGCCGAATCAACTCTTGTCCCGGGACAAACTTCTCAGGTCTTAGTTCATTTTTTAATTATCCATGTTTCCTGTCTTTTTTCAGTTAGTTCAGTGTAAATATCACACTAGTTAAACGAATTACTCTCCGGTGATGACTTCCAAACCAACGGTAATTGTCCCTGTTGTGACGAGGTTTTTTAGGCTCCAAAGCCATTTGTCTTCCCGGTGATGAAGAAAGCCATTGAAGATCTCTTCACGAAACCCATCATCACTAAGGAGGATGTCGAGGCGTTTCAAGACCGGTACTGGGAACAGTTGGTCCCCAATTTTAGTCAAGCCCTCAAGCTGCTTGATATTCACGGGGTTCCCAGGCATAACATATTGTGGGTACGTTTTATGCAATCCAGTCTCTTAGTTTTCCATATTCAGAGCATCAATGACCGACTTCTGGACGCCATCAAAGCAGGTGTAGAGGCAAAATGTGAAGATCCAGATCAGAGAAAATGTCAGAAGTTGTGGCAAAAGCTTATCAAAACTGGAATGGTTTACATTCATCATCCGTACATGCGTGCACTCATAATGCAGGTATACACAGCCATTAGTGCTGATTGGTTGTATATTCTCAGGTCCTTGGTAAAATGAACGCTATCAAAGAGAGACACGTCAATATGATTGTGGACAATCAATACTTGTATGACGATGCCCCCTTGCCTGTTTTGCGGCATATCTGGGTCGCACACCCACACAAGTGAGCAGATGTCTCCAATATCATGGGAACTTCCGTGCACATAGCATTCGCAACACGTTGTGTTCCGATTAAGACTGAATCTTTCGCCTTTTTCACCCCAGACTGTAAAGCTTTCTGTCTCATGAAGTGAACTACAAGAGTGATGTTTCTTACATACCGGTCAGCAATTCACTAAACGACCCGTAGGTGTGAACCTCCGAGCTGCAGGATTTCCAGTCATCTTGTACCCATAAAACTTGGAGTCAATGAGCGGGTGATTGTACCTGTCCTAAATTTGTGACCGGTGATTTTTTTCTTACCGATGAGGCGACTGCATAACTGGTAAAGTTAATACTAACTTGCGTCATTCATGACACAATGCACGAACTTAGTTTGAACCATCCCGGTTCCATTCCAAGACCTATCCGCATCAGTAAGATGGATCTATTTCATGGAATAGATTTTTTCAGCATATGATGAAATGCCCTAAAGTAAACAACTTTAGTAGATCCCTGGCTTCGGACTGCCTACGAACGAACCCCTACGATTTACCTTTAATTTCATGCTCGATAAACCAAGCCATTGAACGTGCATCCACTTGATCAGGCTAACCTGAACTTACAAACCGACGATTTCCGCTAGCCAAAAAACAAACCAAGCAGTTGAATTGGAATGACTTTAAGTGCTACAAAGTCAATGCTCGAAGACTATCTTAACACTGGATGTTGTGCGATGGAGGTCCTAGAGTGCTACCTTCTGTCCACATTATCATTTCTTTCGGGAAGAGGCCTGACGACTCCACTTTCCATCTTCGTATGTTATATTTTGTCTTCGGAGCCTCTTGCTGTTCTTGTATGCATATCTGGGAGTTTATTCAATCGATTTGGTGGATCATTGACCCACCCATCTGAACAAGCTATCCAGACCGAAAAACTTGAAATTTTTCTGTCGACAGTTAGGTTGCCACTCACATCACACGTGCATTTCTTTACCTTCAACCTCCTGTGGCCACTCAACACACACGAGCTCTGGGCAGACTGGTACCCCGCGACGTGATAGGGCTGTTTGCTGTTACAGGGAGTTTGGTACACCCTGCTGCCTGCAGTTGGTGAATCCCATCTTGGGCGAAACGCATCCTACATGCTGTAATGTAATGTGCCGTAATTGGTTATGCTATCAGGATCGCTTATGGCATTTGTGCCATCATTGGCTCATCCGTGTCACTGCTGACACCCGTCGACATGTATTTGGCCCAAATAACCTACGACAGAGCATTTGCTAGCACCGTCAAAATAATTGAGCATCATTCATTCTCATTAGGGCTGTCACAGTCGATTTGGAGCTTTATTGCGCTTGTGTGTCGGTGTCGGCTTTTGGCACTGACCCTATTTTGGAGTGTTCAAATCTGAGACGGGTTTAGCTACCTGTTAGCACTTGACTTGAGCGTAAGGCACAATGAATAAATTCTATTCGATCTTCCGGGATTTTCACCGCAAATATCATGCTGTAAGGTTTAGTTAGCCTCCACAGGAGTTATTTTGAATGCTGGGAAGTCCGGCGTTACACTGAAAAGCTTAACTTTTTTCATATATGCAGTATGAGCATTCGTCCACAGATACACCAACTTTGTTCCCGCAGAGTTACACTCCCTACGGGTATCCGAGATAGCGTGATCTTAGGGTCCTCTTCACCGTGGCAATCGACTCGCTCCCCGTATGTCTCATTCGGTGTTAACAATCCGGCGCATCTAAACTGTTATTTCAATTTACGGAGGATAAACCGCTTTATACCCAGTTCCGATTTGTTTAATCAATCTGATACCATCTCAATCCTTGTGCTTCCTTCGGGTGGCATAACAGCTAGGCACTGAAAGGGATGTTACAGCTGAACGATTTTTTTAGTTTGTTTTTTATTACGATTGTGCCTGTGCGTCCATTATACGTTCATTAGTAGTTGGTATGAGCCATCATCTCAGGAATCCAGAAAACATAGTGCTTCCCTTTTTCACCGTCCCGGTTCATTCACCGCCACTTATTCCGCGCCTTTTATTGACCAGGTTTCAAGAAGAACTGGACAAGGTCATTGCCAGATTTCAAAACAGTTGGTCTGATGCATTGCTAGATGCTCTGTCCATGGGAATCACCTCAACTGCATCGTCTACCGCTGACCTGTTACCCTTACTTTACTGGCCACCTAAACGCCGTCGCCGGGATACAGCGATTATCCGCATGGTCGAAATGATTGGTGATGGACAAACCCTGTACGATAAGGTGAGTCGATTTGCTCCACATGTCGCACCGAGGCGACGAGACCGCAGGGCGGACAATAATCCCAGTTTAAACCAACTAACTGGGCGCTTGGATGGATAGTTTCTTCCCAGAATGAAATAATCGGATCGATTCCTCTTGCTAACTCCATCTCAGTGTTGTAGTTTACCCTGAGTACTCGATCCTGTAGCTTAGGACAAGTACTCACGTTTTCCCTTCCGCGTTCACCCTCTGACCATGTTGGTCTAGAAGCTGGACTAAGTAGTCGCGTTACTGCTGAGCACAGATACCATTGCTGAAATTTGTTTGAGCAATAAGACGATGATAGGTTAATCGGTGAACGGTCTGCACTGGTTTCTTGATTTTCCCGCAATAACTACACATGATTGCGCGTAACGTGCTGTGGATTGATACGAAACCATCCACTAATATTGAGGCTGACTCTCACCATAGACTTCACTGTCATGGGCTTTGATTCTGCTCGTTTGTTTTTACATTCCCTCCTAGACCGTCACCTTCCTGCGGGATCAGTGTGTCCGTTTGGAACAAGCAGCTTCTAACCTTGCTCTGGGATTCACAAACCGAGAGGCTTCGGCCGAGCCGATAACACCACCTCCCAAACGCCGTCGTCGTTTAGACTCCACTGAAAGCCCAGCAGAAAGAGCCCGGCAAACGGAGACTCCCACATCCGGAATTGTTCCTTTCACACCTCCAGCCTTTTTACCCAACCAACCTGCTGTGGTGTCTACTCTGTTGTCCACAATCCGTTTCGACTTATTGATGAGTCTGAACGAGGCAAAAATCGACAGGCTTTGTGTCCCGGATCGCATACATCAATTTGTTTGGTGCCTTGATGCCTGTGTACGAAATAGGCGAATCGACCAGCGGCACGCCAGTGGTCTAGCCTACCACTTGACGGTTCAGCGTCAACGGGCGAAGAAGATGGATGCTGCTGCTAGTGAGCAATCAGGTGATACTGACGAAGAGTCTGGAAGCCATCATGAATCGTCTTCCAAGGTTGGGTCTGCTCGTTCCAGATCAAGCAAACACAGTGCTGGGACAAGTTCTAAAACCGGTTACAAGAAGTCCTCCTCGGAAGGCCCAGCGAACACAGAAGAAACTGATGGATCAGAAGCAGTGACAGAAAGTCAGCTGCTCGAAATGTATGCTTAGCCAGCTTCAACTGTCCAATCTTCTCATCCATCTTTCATACATGATCCAGTCTTCCCAAGGCATCCGCTCACAGTCGGTTATGGTTGATATACTTAGCTAAAAATCAATGACATCAGTTCCGTCCGGTCACACTGTCACACTTGTCTTTATCTTTCCCCCGAGAAGATTCGTTCTGAAAGGCTAATGGTTTAGTTGTCTCATTTGCTAATTGGTCGTAATGTCATTCTCCAAAGTAAGATGCATTTGGTACTGAATTATGTGTCCAGGTATCCTTGATCTGCAAACACCTATTGCTGAGGTATATTGTGTCATCCCAGCCAGGTTAGGTACGGAGGGGGCTGACGGCAACCAGTAACGATGGCTTCTCTTCGAAGATATCTATTTCGTGGCTTAGCGAGTGAGTACATGCTATGATAAATGACACGAATTTGGCAAGGACACTTCTTAGTGTGAAACATACTTCTCAGTGTTGTGTTGGACATCCCCTCAATCTTTCAGTTAAAGTTTCACTTATTTTGCTTTGGATAGCTTTCACAAATCACCTAAACTCATGATCGATGGCCGGAAGTGAGGTTAGTACACATCTGGATCTCCTGTTGTTTCCGGCACTGCACGCGATAAACTAGTTGTTGGTCTGTGGTGTTGACTTCTGCTTTTGTTGAGTCAATCCACGTTTTGATTTGATTTTCATGTCGACAACGTAAACCGGGAGACCTAAGTTACTTGTTCACGTTCCTCATTCCAGGGATATACATATGGCTTGTCGGGACCCATGGGTCTTGTACACTATTTGCACTTCCCTTATTCGGTACATCCTGAACGGGTTATACGAGAACAAATTGCCCCGAGTAAGTCTTGTCACCGAATATAACTAATCTGCTCCACCCATTTCTTTGCTGATGTCAAATACTAGGTAGCAATATTGTCTTTTATCCTGTAGCTACTCTCATTGCCAGCCTTCGTAATGGCAAATTCGTCAGACAGTTCCTCTCTGTCGTTAACCCCTCGATGAGTGTTCCCGGATCTGTGCCAATTTCCAACACCACTCACACCTCATTTTTGCACAATTTTAGCAAGTGTTCAATGAAACGTTACCGCTCTCTCTCTTGTTCTCCTGAAGGAAATACCTGAAGTTAGTTTGCTGGTGCACTTTCTCATCTTGGGTGTCGGCGACGACTTCACTCAGCACCTGTCTCCTCGCAGACAACCTTGGCAAGGGAAAGACTGCTTTGGGTCAAAGAAAGGCTCTCAGAATACAGATGAGGGATGTGCGATTCCGAAATCTCCTTCGAAGGCGCTTATTGGTCATGTGTTGCCTGCTGTAGCGCAACTTCAAGTACTCACTTGGCGAGCTCAAGTTGCTGAACAAATTATCGCGTCTAGTAGCAATGTTTGGCCAGGAGCTGGTATCAGTTCCTCACTGCTCAGCCCAGGTGGCTCCTCACAGCCTGCTCGCCGTTGCTCCTCGGGTGGTACGACTGAGGCACGTGAGTCTACTCAACCTCCGGCCGCGCTACAGAAGCAAATTACAGGTATGAAGAACTTTTCTGTGTGTGACCCATTATCACAACCTCTCGTTTGTGCGGAGGTTTTGTACTGTATCAGGTACCTCGATATTTAGGTGATACACGGCCAGAAATATCTCTTTTAAATGCCGATCAAGGCTGTTCGTCGATTTCCCGGACATTCTCGATGGTTATGCCGTTAGGTGGATACAACTGACCCAAACCGAGTGACTTTTCACACGAAATCTGTTGCTCCTCGTTGATTAAATCTGTTCTGAATCCTCGGAATAATTTTTCTCTCTTCCAAATATTCAATGAGTATAGTCCACATCTAGTGTGGTCTTTCAGCCCTCTGAGCTCGGATAAACAAGACGCAAATGACTCCTTACGGTAGATTACATGAACATTCGAAACGGATCCTTTATGCTTCGGTTGCGATCAACGTATGAGCTCTATCGGGCAAATCGAAAAATGCATTCACATGTTTTGTATCTTAGATATATTAGTGAGACGTTTATTTATCCAGGGCCAGTTTGCATTTTTCCCTGCAAAGTAATTCCCTAGGAAAGGCTACTACAGGGATAGAGGTTACCTTGCCTTTCCGAAGAATCGCGCGCCCAGCCCATAACTGATGGGGGAATTTACAAGTGGACCACGTAAAATGGAATACCGATAATCCTACCGTACGAAACGTATCATGTCTCTAGATGATGCGTAAAAGACGTAATAGTGCTCCGTTGCTTCGCTAACTAGATTATGTGAATTCGCATCAACCGAGAACACCTTTGGATGGGACTACCATCTCATCTCAGACAGTCTAGCATGTATGCAAGAAAGTGGCTCATCTTCACTCAGGAACCAGACGTTGTATGCGGTAGTTTCCCGTTGAAAAAGATCCTACCGGTTTTCCTTGACAGCCCCGAATCAGTGGAAACTCCCCCTTGAAGTGAGGCCATCCCCAGGAGATGCCAAAACCCTTTTCCTCTTGGTGCTCTTCCTTGAAAGTGTTACGGTGCTCAGTAAGCAGGGCCACTCCCATAGATCTAAGGCTCCAAGGTTCCGTGTAAACTGGTCTTCCCACAGCCTACTCGTTGGGGTTCTGTATGCTCATTTCAAACCCTTTTAAATGGTTTTGTACTATTCTTCGTCATGCATTTTTCCGTTCAGATGCAACCAACTCAACAACTGTAGCAGTCCCAAGCGACTACTTTGCACACCCGATCGGTTACTTGATTTTGCAATATCATACCCTATTCGCACTGGAGCGAAATGAGGTATCTGTATTGCGAGCATTGCTAAAAGCAGCCGCAAACGTGGTACAACAACAGTTACGGGCGACCCGTGCCAACAAAGCATGTGCGGGTAAAATTGGACCTTCTTCCCCGCCTTCTCCGCTTGACCCCGGTACGCCTCAGATACAGTTTCGTTGGCGGCCCGAAGTACTCCAGGTTGGCATTCTTTTCGCATGTCTCTGTTGTTGTTGTTGTGTGCGTGTGTGTGTGTGTGTGTGGAAACTTCAGCTTACATCTGATAGCCTCTTTTGCGACACTTCCACAATAGGCCCTTGTCCTTGGAATCGCCCGACTGCCACACTCCGTTCCGGCTTTTGTTGACGTAAGCCGTGGTATTCATGGATCGTCCAGCACGGGATCTGTTGGCATGGTTGATAATGCCAACCAAATGGAAACCGGCAATAGTAGTTCAGATGCTGCGGATTCGGAGTTGCTAGGCCCTGGTCCTATTTCTGTTGGTGCTGGTGATTCGGGAGCTACTTCGGGTACTGCAGGACAAGTTAGATCCGCTTCTGGCAGCGGGCACGGTGGCCTGCTTTCTGACAGTCGCGTGATTTCATCCAGTACTATGATCACACGTGCTGAGCTCGCTACACTACTGAGAGCCAGCCTCACCTTAGTGGGTGACTTGCAGTTGCTGGCGTTGGCTCAACTGGCTCTGTTGGTTCCAGGTCCTAGTGCCTCTGCATCTGCTTGTTCCAACACCAACGCGTCGTTGCTATCTTCAACAGACACTGGTCCGTTAGAACCTCTATCTCCTGTTATGACTGAGCGTGAACGATTGACGAATACCTTAGCTCGACATTGTACGTCTGTCGCGGTCTCCGATACACCTGTTCCCACTGAAGCTGCTCCGTCGGTAGCGACGACATCTGGTCCGTACAAATCTACCGACCCTCGCGTCTTACAAGCGTTGGATTTCCTGCGAAAGTTAGCTCGACATTGTACGTCTGTCGCGGTCACCGATACACCTGTTCCCACTGAAGCTACTCCATCGGTAGTGACGACATCTGGTCCGTACAAATCTACTGACCCTCGCGTCTTACAGGCGTTGGATTTTCTGCGAAAAGATATCGACCGAAGTCTGGTAAGTCCTTGCCAAATAATCTCTCTCCCTCTGTGAACCATGTTTTCTTTTGAGGCCTAAATCCCTTTGGCTGTATAACATTTATGCAATCCGGGTGTAGGTGCCCAAGTCTCAAGTAGTGTCACAATGAGTTGCCCGTTTTCCTGCTAACTTGAGTTCCAATCTTAGTAAAAACAAGTCAAGTGCTCTTCTTTGACTCCGTGATTTACACTCAAGAACAAGGTCTTGTGGTGGGATCTCCCGTATCCCCGGTTTTGGCAAGTATATTTATGGAAGATTCTGATTAGAAAGCTTCAGCCGGATTCCCATACCCACTCTAGATATTCTGGCGTTATGTAGATGACACCTACGTCGTAATGGAACGAGACAGGATCAGTGAGTTATACAACTATCTGGGCGAACTGAATCCACGCGTTGAATTTAGTTTGGAGATAGAGTCAACCTCGGGTACACCGGCCTTTTTAGACTGCATTAGACATAAGGTCGGGGGAACTAAAGACCATCTGGGGTACACCGGCCTTTTTAGACTGCATTACACATAAGGTCGGGGGAACTAAAGACCACAGTGTACGAAAAGCCAACGGACACTGGCTTTGAACTACTCGTCTGTCCATCCGAAGTCGGTATTCGCTAGTATGGCCTCATCAATGTTTAAGCGTGTAAGGGTCCCCTGCACAGAAGTTGATCGGACAGTGGCCCAAATTGAAGTAAAGTCCAAGCTTCGGAGTGATGGATATCCGACTAATTTGATTAGGCGTCGATTACGAAGGGCGCTGGTACCGGTGGCGAAACCCAGAAGAGAATGGCTTGGAACGGTCCTCATTCCAAATAAACCAGGGACATCGGAGATCATTCGAAGGATTCTAAACACGGCCAACATGAGAATAACTTTCCAGATGGGAAACACTATGCGCTGTGTGCTGGTGCAATTGGAAGATCGCCTCCCAGCAAACAGAACCAAGGACTGTGTTTGTAAAATTAAGCGTAACGACTGCATTAAAGTCTATATAGGACAGACGGCCAGAATCGGAGAGCATAGGAGGCAAATAAACAGGCCACCGAGAAATGCAGATGGACATCGTGCGGTACTGAAAGACTCGGCAATTGCGGAGCATTCACTGGACGTGGGACACAATAGATTTAGAAAATGTTGAGATTTTGAGGTGAGGAGTACGTCACAGAGACTAGTGGCCAAGACTGTAGAAATCGCCAAGCATCTCAGTGTTATAGAGTACAAGGCGTGGAACCGGCAAGCGTATGGAGAACGGTTTTAAATCGGTTTAGCTAACATGTGTTGGTGTGCGGTTATCAGAGGAAGTAGTCATCATCCGAATTCCAGTTAACCTCACCCCGCTCCCACTCCCTTCCCCCCGACTAAATTGTCGCAACACTCACAAGCCCACAAAGACCAATGAACTGTACCAGTATCACCCGCGGTGGCACTTTAAAGTGGAAGATTAAGGAACCAAACCCTATCGAATCTAATTTGGAACTTCCCTAACTAATCAGCGCAAGATTTTGGCAACCACACTAACCGATAGGAGCCCCCAGTTGACACTGGAGACGTCCTACTGATTGGTTCTCCGTTTTGGCAACCACACTAACCGATAGGAGCCCTTAATTGACACTGGAGACAACCTACTGATTGGTTCTCCGTCTGGTCAAGTTGGTGACCTGCTCACTTGGCTTGATGAAGCTTGTGTGCCCAATTAAAAGGTACGGATTGTTTACCAAACCCTTCTGAAACGATGACTTCTCAATCGGTTCCAAACTTTTCCAATTGATTGAAGGTCAAGTACTTGGTTACCTGTTGGTGTGAATACGACTGATCCAACCGCGTTGTTGCGTTCTGTTTGATAGAGCTTACTCTAACTTGGGGAAGACGCAGTATGGACAAAACATAACCTACGGGTGAAATGTGAAAGGTTTAACAACTGGCCTCAGTCTTATTGTTCATGCCGTTTATGTGGTTGGTTTATCAGAGACTCACTCCACCAATGACTAGACATCCCCACCAACATGGTCCATTCGAATAGCCGACAGCACCGCATTATCCACTCGTTTATCCCCAACCTTCAATCAGTTGTTTGCCCCATTTTCCCTCTTCCTTCGGGAACTCTGATTAACTCCCTTTGTCTTCTTGGACTACCGGCTTCCAAATGTTTTGGTGACCCGAAATTCACGGTTGAAAAACTGAACAATGTCAGATGGAACCGGGTGTGCTCGACTACGTTGCTGATATTGTAAGCATGGATTAATACAACAAAGTCACTAAAAACTTCCACATTTGTTCAGGTTTATTCATCTCTATCCGCCTATAATTTGTCTTACGGTCCAGCACACCGTGAATTCCTAATAAACGACTGTCCTCAGCCAATTCTGGTAGCTCGGTCATAGGCAGGAATCCCGTCTTAGTGAGCCAATTGTACAGCTGCACCCCGATTTTTCGTATCTTTATTCACGTTCTCCTGCACGTCCGACATTACCCGCACTTTAGTACATCCATAAGGTGGCAATAGGTTCGTCCGTTTTCCGATTAACCTAATTTCTGTCCCCTTTATGTCTTCTGTAGCCCCGATACGACATAGCAGCCACATATAGTGGTCCGTCCAAAACTGATAAATACCCGTATAGTCTCCGGCAGTTAGGATAATTTGCTTGGCAGCTCAACTCAAACTTTTTATCGTTTCTCTTCTTCAGGTTCCCCCATCTTTGCCCCTTACCCCAACCGGCCTGCCTGGTCCAAAGTCTATCCCTTTTCCCTACAATCAACCAACTCCTTTCAGTGGTTCCGGTTCCAGTGGGTCCTCAACTCGTTTCGCTGGATTTCAAGTTCCTGCTCAGCCGGACTCCGTAACTTGGGCAGGTGCTACACCCCGTAGTCCATCATCGGACAGAAAGGGATCACGATTCCCTCAGTCATCCTTTTCAACCACATCTCGATTCGATTTCAAGAGTTATGGTGTCCCCTCCTCTTCGTTTTATTCATCCTCGTCATCCGTCGGACCACAGCTACCCATGGGCACACCACTCACTAATCCAGGCTTGATGGGTGCCACACCCCATCTGAATAATCTTGCACTCGGGCATGGCATGATGCCACCCACCCCGCGGCGTCCTTCCACACCACCACGAGAGTTCCGTCCCTCCAGTCCTCTGCTTACGAACTCCAGTGTTGGTCAGTCAAGTTCGAGTTTGGGCGCATTCGGTGTATCCGCTCAACAGTTCGGTGCGGAATTCAGCACTTCCTGTCCGTCACCGTCGATTCACAGATCAGCCAACAACGGGAGTACTACCAGTGGGTCCGTTTCTGGCATAGGCTATTCCAGACCAAGGTCACCTTCACCTCCCGACATGTGATCTCATCGATTCTGTTGTGAAACTCAGTCTACACGGTTTCTTGGTGACCTCATCGTTTTCTACTAAGTGGAGCATACACGTTCACTGTCAATCGATCATTTTGATGCACACGTCTCCAGCCGTTCTTATGTTTGATTTGTATTTCTATTACACCGAAAATTCATGCCTTGTCTGTTCATCTTCTGTTGTGGGGAACGGGCTCGCCGCGCATCTTGTCAAGTCATTCTCGTACTATTCAGATGTCCTGAGGGAAAAATGAAGAAGTCGCGATAAAAACCTCAAGGTCAAGTCATAGAAAATCGTCCATCCTGTGAGCAAAACCAGACATCTTACCTTGACCTTAGGACATCTCCAAATGTCCACAAGAACATACCAGCATTCGTGACAATATCGTAAGACTCATATCGTGGAAATACTTCCACTGGAAAATTATAGTTCGCTCATACGACGACTCAGGTTCGACGCATTCCTTTTTGTGACCTTCGGTAGGTGTTCGTACTCATTAATCCGACTAGCGAGGATACCTCAGAAAAGTTTATCACCCACTGGAACCACACAGTAGGCCGTGACCGCTGACTGGTGCTATTGTGAGCTATCTTGGGATTCGCTCTCATAAGTGTGTTACATCCTCATGGTTTACGGTGGCCTAGCAGATGTCTGTGCAGCTCTCGATGTTATACGGTGCGATCAGGAGCCTACGTACATTTCTTCGATAACAAACATGTCAGGTTGTCCCACTAGGGTAAAGTTTGAATCGCCACTGTAGGGCCGTTTAGCTCTAACACTCCTTCGGCGCCTAGCTGCCATGCCACCCGAAGGAAGCACGAGGGCTGGGATACTGCCAGGTTGCCCAAGCCTAGACAGGGGAAGTCGAGAGACAGGTCGAGTTCGAACCACGGACCTTCCGGTCAGTAAATTCGCGCTCTAACCACTTAGTCCATCTCGCCCTGTACGGTCCGTGCTTCAAGTGTCACTAAAAACAAGTGGATATTTTCGAAAAAGTTCCACCCCTACCCAGCATTAAATGCTAGGGTAATGTGCGTGGCTCCTGTATATGTCCGTTTCATTACAGTGGGTCGCGTCCACTTACATACGTGGTTGGAGTTGCTAGACAAATGACCACGGGTAGTGTGCCATATCTGGTTTGATTAGCTTGAGGTCACAAGTGTGGTTATTAAGGGTTTGTGAATGGAGGAATGAGTACACAGCCTCTAGCCAATGATAGATCTTTCACTCATATCTGGTTTGATTAGCTTGAGGTCACAAGTGTGGTTATTAAGGGTTTGTGAATGGAGGAATGAGTACACAGCCTCTAGCCAATGATAGAGGCGTCTTTCACTCTAGTTCCACGGTCACCATGCGCCCCTCTCAAATGGAACTCTGTGTTAAGCCGATACTGTTTCACTTCATAACCCACATTGTTTGTCTTCCAATTCGAAACTCTCAGTCAGTTGGATGAACGCCTGGCCCACTTGGAACTTGATATCAACTCACTGCTTCTGGACTCACCGAATAGCGTTTCCGGTGAACTTGTGTTGTGTATTTGTTGGTCTATTGTGATTAGGTTTCCTTCATCGATGGCGCGCGAAACCACCTTGGGTTAGGCTCTGCATCTGATTGAAAATTTAACTACCCACTACAAACCTTCTATCCTCATAAAACTTAATCTAGGTCACTGAGTTTATTTCATGGCTTGAAAGTGTTGAAGGATCGCAGTGGAGGTTGTTTTCGCGTGTTGCGAATGATGTATTTCTGTCACGGACACCGTGGTGACTTGAGCGCTGTAACTACTGCAAACGCCTTTGGTCATAGGAAAGTTGAATGAATGAGAAAAGTAAATTTCCACATCTGGAATCGGGTTCGAATCTGTAGGTATTTAGCATAGAGTTTCTGTGCGAAAATGAGTGGATACTCTAATGGGAAGACAACAGTGATGATGATGATGATTGTGCTCGTGTTTCGCTCTTGAGTTCGGCCAATTCAGTCGTCCAACTGGCATAGGGCAGCAACGCCCCGATTGATCCAGTGTTGTTCGGGCAGGGCAGTTTTTAGTTGGATGTATTGGACGAAGTTTGTGGAGTGACCGGTTGTTGACAGTACTCCGCGGCGGGCTGATGTCTTGTAGACTGGACATGCGTAAGTTCCTTCCACATTGATATTAGATAGTTTCTCTGGTCTGAGCCAAATCTGGAATGTGCAAAGAGAGTACATCGAGTAATCCCACTGCAGGAACAAAGCTGCATACTGCTCCACGTCGCGTTATATGTAGAATGAAAGCCCGAGATTACAGCAGCAATTCAGTAGTATCTATCCTACCTTCGCATAAGTCGTTATACAATATTAGACCACCCTATATGCACCGCCCTATATATACACAATCCATCCTACCGATTTGGCTGTAGCTTCGTGAATGCGCAGGAGGATGGGGAGATTTATTAGCGCTAACTGAAACTCGTTTTTGTGCATGAAAAGGCACAGATCAGGTCCCACTACCAGTACGATAGCTGATATCCACTGGACGTAAGATACTCGAGTCAAAAGTTTGACGATTGAATGCATGATTAACAATGGTATTGAAGCAATTTATTCGTTTCTCAGAAGAATGACAGTTCGTTTTCAGAGTCTAGGCGAAAGGCATTGCACTTTTCTTTGAAAGTGATTCATTCGCAAACCTCTCCGAAATCCTCCAATCGTATAGTCTGGTTGAGGCCTGTTTGGTGCGATGCACTGTACGAATGAATATATTAGTGAATAATCCTATCACACGACATGGCAGGAGAATAATCTTGCACGTGGACTATGAAGTATTATTTTCTGGTTAACACTTTTCTCTGCTTCATCAATGCCCTCCATTACTCTGAATCAGTATCAATGCGTAAAGCAATCGTGCTTAATTTAAGGTCAATTCCCAGATGCGCGGAATATCAAATATCTTATTAAGGAAATCACAACCGACTTACCACTGGTATCGTATCAAACAAAATCTTCGGCTTTGATTCTGCCAATTGACCCTCTACCGGATCCCAACGGCCTCCTTCCAAAAATAAGCCGGATATAAAGGCTCCATCCTCCGGTTTGGCAAACCCCTCGAATTGTTCCGTTGGTCTTGTCTTGATAAGTGGCATTTGAATCACGCTGACCACCGAGGTACGTCTGGTTGGGGGCGGTCGTGGGATGAATTCAGGCACAGAGGGAGCATTTTCCAAAAGACTGGTATGGTTGAAGTACCGATCGGTCACTGCAAAACTGAAGCCCAGTGTGTCTATTGGAATGGTGTATTTCCTCGCGTAGTTTTGCAACACGCCGGTCAGGAAGGATTGTGTAAAGTAAAACCCGGAAATCCAAAACACTGGAGGCGAGTCGTAAGTGAGCCAGTCGGCGAAGAATTTGAGCCTGTGATGAGAGGCATAGGGCACGTAAGCGAATTTATTCTAATCTCGTCCCTGAAAGGCGATCATACATGATATACAAAGCTAGCCTTTCGTTCATCTTTTGTTGATAAGAGAGCAGTAGAAACTATTTTATATACTATGACCAACACAGATCCCTCTGGTGTTCATCGAAGCCAACACAGCTATTTACCGGTTGCTACTAGGGCCAACCCTCGACTCTGAACGGAAAGAAAGCGTTTGCTGAACAGTTGTCTTCTCGTTAATATCGATAGTGGCAAATTTGGTACCCGGTCTATGTAACCAGCAAAGTGAATTGGCACTACAGATCCTGTTGAAGCAATGCGGAACCGAAAATGGGTCATCGGGTTGTCACAATGACTTTATTGCTAGTGTTAGATGAAATCCGGAAAAACCCATTTGTGGAATGATTCGGAATATGAAGAGCTGAAAAGTGGATATCCCGAATGCTAAGTGAGAAGGAAGTGTCAATCAACAGATTTAGTAATAGCATCTTCAACAGACAGGAATAATGAGGTTCATTTGGCCATCAAACAAGGATATAATACCACAACGCCTCCAAATACACACTTTTGAAACAAGAGACCATCTATGCTACCTAAGCTACCAACGTTCTCCTCTATAGCGGACAAGATAATTGGGGGTAACAGAAAATTGAACAAAAAAAACAAGGTCGGGAAATACACCCATTTGCGAATCAATTTGGTTTTCACAAGAGACTCAGCTGAATCTCTCGTTTGTGATATTCTACAACTGAATGTGCTGCACACAGGCTACCTCATGTTTCAATTGGCACGATATTCGAGATATCGCAATATATTTTCATAAAGGAAAGAATATCATCAAAGAGAGATTCAGTTGAGTCTCTCATGAAAACCAAATTGATTTGCTAATGAGTGTATTTCTCGAAAACGGTCCGATTTGGGTTCTAGTGGAATATAAGGTTGACAGAAACTCGGGGACTGCGCCTACCTGATGAGCCCCAAGAAGAGCGAAATCGGTCGTGGGTTGTCGAAGAGTTTTCAGCAAATTTGTGAGTAGTTTCCTTCATGAAAAAAAAACAAGATATTCATTTGGATTACATATGGGAAACGCGTACCTCCCCAAGCTTCATTCGCTGCACAAATTACGCGGTTTTTACATCTGATGATGATGACGTCGGACGATTAGTCGTACGCCTCCAATGCGTGTTTCCTACCCCACCTCCCTACAGCATCGGCAAGGCATTCTGTTGCAGCTAGAACCACTACGACAAGTACGGGGTTCTCACACCTGATGGTGATGCAGCCTCGACAAAATTTTGTGATGACACCAAGATGCCGAAGTCGTCAAGTTGTATATGGATAGTCGATCAACCAAGTGGGATTTTTGCTGATTAGTGTGAACAAACGACCGTCTTCTTCTAAACTTTTACAGCTTTTTGAACTCTCGGAATTCATCAGTTTCGATCACGTTCACTTGGTTTCTTTGAGTAAGGTGGTTTGTAGACATCCTGAAAGCTTCATGGTCAGGTTGATAGACATTTTTCTGCTGAGTGACCGGTTTACCTCCAAATTTGCAACTCACGGAGGCAGTTTTCAAAGATTGTTCTTGATTCGGCTACCAGATCTATGTGAGTGAGCCAGATAATGAATATCCTCCAGAAAGTCATTCTATCCGTCAATGGCCTCGCGGTACTAACTGGGCTACTGTCCTCGTCATTCCCTCATTTTTCTCTATTCGTGACAAGCTGTTTGGATGCAATCTTTATTCGAAAACCCATGGAATAAATCACTACCAGACTTGACGGAACACACTACTCATAAGGTTATTGAAAAGTCTCCGACAGCCCACGACCAACTTTGCCTTTCTTGGGGCTCATCGGGTAGGTATAGTTTTCGAGTTTTCGTCAAATGAAGATTCTACTTAAGACAAAATTGTGCGAAAATGTCATAAACAAGCGATTCCGCCAGAATGCGCCCACCTAAGGAGTCCGGAGAAGCGGGAAACCGGTCGTTGGGCGTCGAAGAGCTTTCAGCAGCCTTATGAGTAATTTGTCCCGTCAATAAAGTATGCTATGATATCTCGAATATCGTATTAACTGAAATATTAGGCGGCGTTTGTGCAGCATATTCAGCTGAACTATACCATACACTGGAGGTTACGCTGGGATTCAATATCAGACTGTTCGGCTGCTTGGAAGTCGCTCAGCAACGTCTGTCCCAGGCGTCTGCGCTCCGACACACTGTGCTCAGAAGTGCATGTGGCGGTCAGCTCAAAGAGGTCAATCACTGAGCTTACTAGCGTCGAATTGGCGGCTACCTGACTTAGACACTTGACCGCGCGGCTGACCGTACACAGAGCGAGTAAAACTTTGGGGACTGCGAACCTAACATATGTGAGAAACAGTGGTAGAAAGTGATTGATGACAAACCAATCATATTGGAACGAGTGACATATGACATGATCATCCGAATTGGGGAAAATACGCTCCAGCAGGTCAGCCTGAATTCGATTCGTAGCGGTAACAATATTCTGAGTACTATCATACAAACCAGTGAAATGTCAGACCGCGTTCAGCAGCTCGTTTTGGTAACTGATCTACCACAGGCCCCTTTGGAGAAAATTATTCAGTAGATTTTAGTGAGACCTATTCCTTGATGCCGATGTTTTCAAAAAAAAACAATAACTGTGATAGACACGTGTTTTCTGATGGTGAAATGAACTGATTTATATGAAGAATTAGTGATTCATATCCGTGTAAAATGCTGGCAATGTCATATCTCAAGTGCTGTGACTGTGGGAAGGGGAGTGAGAAACATTGATGATGAGAGCTCCAAACTCGCGTTGTCGAGGCTGATGATGACAGTTGAGTTGTCGGCCTCATTGGTTTACTGAAGACCGTTTTTTTTTCAAAACATTGGTGGGAAGAATAGGATATGAGAGGCTACTGTTAGGTGGCTATGTGCATCGGACACAAATCTGATTAACATGAGAAGTCCAGATGAATTGCTCAGATTTGCCTCCGTAAAACAGTTCCTATGCATCGTACAACCAGGTTCCCGTTCTTTTCGACCTCTTCAAATAGTTCCTTCCGTAGGCCCGCGTACCGGGAGCAAGGGAATGTTCTGTTGCCTCATGTCATCTCCCCACGTGACAGCCTCTCGTAAAATCGCATGTTGTAGGCAAAGTTACCACCAGGAAAGTCATCGTCCTTAAACGAGTTTTGGGCCACATGTACCCCGACAAAGTTCGAGCACTGTGCGCAGTCGCCGGTACACTCACTCGGTCCTTTGCTTGGACGCACGTCGCAGACGCGCACACAATAGTGTGAATTACCAGCCCCGTCAAGCTTTCATAGTGTCGCTTCCGCATTGTCCGTGCGTCCGAACCCACACATTTGGGCATTGCCTGTAGCGTTGAGAAAGTTCGTCCAGCTGGTAACACGCGTGCGCAGCCGAATTACATCGAAAAGATGAGCACATTACGTTTGACTTTTTCCCGCGTCCAAGTTTTACCAACCCCGTTTAAAGATATCCGCAAAGCAATTAACTTGACCGTTAGATTAAGAATGGTAGAATGGGCCACACAAATGTTGGACTCTGTGAAAAGTGAAAAACTGAACATGAACCTTAAATGGAGCTCCCAAGGTCTGTCTTTAACAGCGCCGGAACCCTGAACTCCTCGAACAACTCGTTGAGGATGAAATTCGTCAGGCAACCCAATCCACACTGCTGAAACGTAGGCATGTTCACCTCTGCAAACGTGATGATTCAGGTGCGTCCAGCATGCGGCGGTCGAGTCTGAACACAACCTTTTCCGCCACAAGCGGCCTTACCTTTTGTCAGTGGGGCTCTTAGGCCATTCAGATCCAGGGTTTGTGAGTTCAGCGCAGTAACTCGGATGCTGTCACATCTGTGGTCCGCACCGATTGATCTGTAAGCCACTAGTGTAGTTGATAATACATACGTCACCCGAGAAAAGCGTAGCCCACACACCACTACTGAAGCT